GGGGTGAAGAACCTTTCACTAGGCCTGCTAGTTGCTGTTGTTGTTGCTGCCGCCGCTTCTAATTCTTCCTCTTCCCCTCCGGCCTCCTAACATGGCGCCGAGGCGCTACCACAGCAACGTTCTGGAGATGGGAAGGAGAAGGAGGGGCCGCGGTGCAGAGGCCAGTAGAACGTGCTGACGCAACGGCGTTTCCCAACCCTCTGCGTCAAGTGACGAAAGAGGGCTCCGGGTAATGCGCTGGACTGTCGCCGCTTTACAATGGTTTGTGGGTAATGTAGTCCTCCAAGGTGATTCGAGCGTTTGAAGTGGGAACGAATTAAAATTTAATGATAACGGTTCCTGCATTGACTGAGCATGCGCCGCCGAAAAGCACGGAAGTTAGTCGTCTTGATTGGTGTTGGGAGAGATGTTTATGTATAGGGTAATTCTTTTCTCCTTTACGATTTGTCAAAGGGGCGACGGGAGGAGATTGAAAGAAAAATCTCCCATTTACACTTAGAGGTAAAGCTTGCACTTCATAGTAATCTGTTTTTCCTTAGAACGTTGTATAATTTTTCGTTTGTGAATTACCTCTTTTCTTTGGTTCATATATATTTGAGCCATTATTTTATTATCCATGGTTTGTGAATAAGTTAGGATTGGAAACAAGCTGTGCAATAGATACTAGTAGAGGTATTTATGCAACATACTAAGTTAAAAACCAAAAAAGCTAAGCGTATGGCTTAGCATATTTGAACCCAGTCTTGTGTCGTTAAGGAAGGGGAAGATTTCATTCATAAGCTGCCCGAATAGAAGAATAAAAGCAGACTATTTAAGTATACAAAAGCCAAGATTTTCTAAGAAAAATCAAAATGTCTAATAATTATTGTCTATAATGCCCAAATGAAATACTTATATTTGACAATATTCTGAGGGATCAGAAGATATGGTGAGACCTGGCCCATTGAATTGCCAAGAGTTGGACGACTAAATGGATAATATCATCATCATCATCATCATTCTATCCCGAGTATAGGATAAAAGAATGAGTAAGAGAGGCATACACTCATATTTGAAATGTGTGCCAAAGGCTGTATTTCAATATTAGTGCAGAACCGAATGTTTGGTGTATAAGTCTTATGGTTCATTAGGGAAGACTGGAAAAAAATACTGCTTGAAAGACTGCGTCTCAAAGTCTCATCATAGCTACTGGTAAAAAAGTCTGAGATCTGTTCTGTAGATCAGTAGTAGCAGGAGAGTTGCATGTTTTTAATTCTATTTTGTAGGTAAATCTGAACCCATTCAAATTGTGCCATTCTAAGTACAAGTATTGAACAGTGCAGCACATCAAAAATGCTGATATTTGAAATCAAGATTTTTGACACTATAAAGACATCTTAAACTATCAAAGAAAGAAATTTAAAATCCTCAGATATAAATCCTCTTTATATAAATCATAATTGTCTGATCTGAATAAGGTGGTCATACCACCGAAAACGCTAGAATATTTGTATTATACATGATTGATTCATAAAGTATTCCACTTCATGATGAGGTATTTTTAATAATCAAACAGTGGGAAAGCTCACATACTGTAATAATGGACTTTCTTATCCAAAGTGTGATTCCTATTTATTTAGAAAGTAATGCGAGTTTTATTTATTTTTGATGAGACAGATTCCCCAAAAATAGTCTTATCAGTGGAAACTATATGAGGTTTTCAGATTTGAATCAAGAGTGAACCTGACTGAACACTCAGTTTACTATGGAACAATAAGAGCAGTACAATATTTTTCTGCCTTTATTGTGTCTACTGAGTGCCAAGTGGTGGACTTCTACTCCTCTTGGGTGATACATATGGCTCACAGGAATGCTTGCAGGCCCCTTATAAGAATCATTCTAGGCATCTGTTGTATGAAGTCACTTGGATTCAAAATCTGGCTTTATAGTCTATTGGAGTTGCTTAAGGTAAAATTTGGCCCAATTATCCTGGAAGAGTTCAAGCCAGTCATCACTGATGAAGTCAACAGTGTTGTCAGTGAGTTCAGTTTCCTGTATTTTAGATTTCTATCACCTACTGAAATCTGGGAAGTGATGATTGGGTCAGGTAACAATGAATGTTTATCTGCAGAAGGGGATGATTCTGTATGCCTTGAAGGAGACATATGTCTTGCGCCCTGACCCCAATGAACAGACGATTGCTGTGACCACTTTTGTACTGAATGGATCTGGACAATTTTCATCCAATCTCCAGCTGAGAAGGTGGATGGTATACAGTTCCGGAAGAAGCAAATTATCTGAATTGTTCTTGGTTATAAACTGAGACAGCATTGAAAATGAGGATTATCTCTGAGAGACCCAATATGGTGGTAGAGTCCATCCTGTCTTCCTTGATTTCTCTGTCACCTTTGATAGCATTGATCATGGAATCATTCTGGCCCATGTTAAAGAATTGGGAGGCACTTTGTTATAGTGGGTTTCCTCCTTTGTTTGGATTTCAGTCCATTTAATGTTGGTAGGAGGAAAGATCAGATTCTACCTTGAGAGGTAGACTACTATCTTGGCACTCCTATTTAACATCTAAATTAAGCAGCTAATGAAGTCATTTGTTCATGTGGGTGTGGTATTATCAGTATCTCCAGCCAGGATCAATTGATGCCATTGAGGTCCTTTTGTTTGCACCTGGAAGCTGTTGGGGTCAGGGTGTGGAGAAATGCACACTAGCTCAAAACGTTGGCCAGACTGATTGGCTATGGATATTGATCCTCCTTCCTGACACCAGAAATTTCCCACATTTAATTCTGGCTGGGGGGTGCACTTCGCCAGTCAGAGTGTGCAATCTGGGAGTCCTCCTGGACTCAGGTTTCTGCTTGATGAGTAGATAGCAGCCATGGCCGGAGGGGTCTTTGCACAGGTTTGCCTTGAGCACAAATTGCACCCATTCCTGAACTTTGTTCTTAGTGACTCATGTCATAGTCATAATGCTAATAAAGTGATTACATTTGGATTACTTTAACACATTCTGCTTGAGGCTACCCTTGAAGAGTAGCTATCTAAAATGTATTTGCATGATCAGTTTTTGGTTTTTCTCAATACATTCATGTAGCACTATTGCTCAATGAGCAGCACAGGTCCCCAATTGGTTTATGGGAGTTATGGCTGATAACAGTTGTTTTAATCTCTGCACACTGTCTGGAGTTATTGGTGTGAGATGGGTGGGCCATCTGCATCATTTTTGTTTCCAGATCCAGGGGCTAATAGGTGACCCACTACATCTTTGTGAGCTTCCCAATAGCACTTTATCAATCAGTGTTAAAGGCAGTGAAGGCTAAGGGCATTTCTCCATTAGTGACTAAGAATACATAATGAAGTAATGTAATGCTTCCACCTCCATAACTTGTTTAAATAGGGTTATTTTAATAATTGAAATGAAACCTTTTGTGACCTGTGTTTATTTCTCCACATACAGTAATGGTTACCATTCTTAAGACCATCATGAAAGAAATGCATGCTTTTATCTCTTCAACCAGATGCTGAGTGTTGTTTTTATCTCTACATTTGAATAAAACATGTTTACTAAAGTATTCCTTTGGCTAGAAGAAAAGGTGGAAATCACATGACTCCTAGGATGACAGACAGGGTTAAGAAAGTGAAATCTAACATGTCATTAGAATTGAGTCCTGGTGTTGTCAAAATGCAGCAGCATTTCTTTCCTTCAGATTGTTGTTTCAGTATTGTTAAAAAGTAACACTTTGGATGGTAGTTTTTCCAGATTTAGATCATGTGAATAAATGTTATCTGCAGGGCAACAAACATCTACAGGCAGTTAATGACAAAAATTAGGATTGAAATTTCATCAAGTGATGCAGTTTAAAGCATGATGTCATGTGACCACATCACTTAATGACAACAATCATTAAGTGGCATGCCCCATTTCCATCATAAAGTGAGTTCTAGGCTGCTTGTACCTAGCCAGCAGGCAGGTAAACCACAACGCAAGTGTAGTGCTGCCAGGAATGGGTGCTGCTAGTCAGGGGAAGAGTGCAAGCAGCTCAACAGAGTGACGTGACCTCTCTCAGTTTCCCCATTATCTTTGCTTGTGAGAAGGTAAGGAATGGTGATCACATGACTGCTGGATGCAGCAACTGTTGTAAATCTGTGAGCTGGTTACCAAAAATCCAGATTGTGATCCTGTGACCATGGGAACTTTGAACATTAATTGTAAGTGTCCTTGTATAGCGCCATTGTAGCTTCAAATAGTTGCTAAATGAATGGTCAGTAAGCGAGGGTTGCCTGTAAGCATTTCCTGCCAAAACTTGGGTTTTGACAATAGAGGGCTGACAGTACTGAAAAATATTAATACTATCCACACATTCCTGTGAAAAGCCAAACTTGACAGCAATTTTCTTTGATTTTATCAATTGTCCTTAATCAGTTCAACAAACTTTCCCATGTGAAAGTCCTCAGTTGCTGTGATAGGTTGTCCACTTTGTTTTTGATATTATAAATCAACTCTTTTTTTTCATTGTTTCACTTTTTTTTTGCCCAGCTACTCAGTACTCACATCAACACAGTTATCACCCCAAAAAATCCTGTATTTGGTGGTGAATTTCACAAGGGGAGTGGGGGAACATTCCATTAACAATCAAAAATTCAATCATTGAAGCACACTTAGTAGCTTTCACTTCACAAGCAATAACAATATACTGTATTTTTCAGAATATAAGATGCACTTTTTCCCCCTAAAAGAGGGTGAAAATTTGGGTGTGTCATATACACCAAATGTAGTCACACCCACCTGCCGATCCCCACCCTTTGGTTTCTGTCTCCCAGCAATTTGCCTCCTTGCAGCAAACAGCCTGCTTCTGCTTCAGCTTCAGCATAGCCTGATTAGCACAAGCAGCTGATTGTCAGTTGGATCAGCCTCCTGACCATCAGTTGTTTCAGGCTGCAGGGATTGCCTATTGCCTCCATATGGCTGCATTGTAAAAGGACTTTTGGTATAACTGAACAAGTACCAATATTCTTCTTTTCCTTTATTACATAGCTTAAGTACATGTTGTCATAAACTTGATAACCATAGTTACTTTTCTAAGAACAATAATTTTGAAACTTTTTCTTTAAATGTGTTCAAGGAATATTCTGCAATTTACGAGATATTCTATAAATTTTCATTCATTTTAGATAAATGTACATATCTTCAAACTTTAGATTTCTATTTTTTAAAAAAAAGTAAATTAGTGAATGTATATTTTACAACAGTATTACACAACAATCATTAACATTAAATTTAACAAGACATAACAGGGCAACTGTTTAGACTTCTTACTCAAATTCCGGATTATTCTTGAAGAGATATTCTGCCTGTTGATTTAAAAAAATCCATGTAAAAAGATATGTTCAGTTTCTCTAGGTTAAAGAGAGCATTGCATTTCCTAAAATTAGTAGAAGTGGCCTGAATTATTATTAGATAACCCTGGTATTGGTGAAGGATTAGATAGTATCTTGAACCAAAGCTATAATAGCAGCATCTGCTTGAAATTCACAGTACAATTCCTGCTACAAGCAATGCCATTATGAAAGTGTGCCTCAGATGTGGAAGAGAACGTACAGTATATCTGGAATCCAAATCAAGGAAGAATGTAATCAACAGAGACAGAGAGCATATTGGAAAATTGTTGAACTCAGGTTCTATTAATCAGATGAAAACTTGCATTAGCCAAATCACCCACCATATTGAAATGACCTATTAATTAAAATCAAAATCCAAAACAAAGCTACCTCCATAAAATTACACCAAGGAGGATCTATCTCAAAACAAGATAACCTGTGGTTATACCCTGAAAGATGGTCTATTGTTATGCAAATTAATGTTTTAAATTTTCTTGAAATATTTGTAAACTGTATGTCAACTGAATAAACTTGTTCCCCTTCCCTTGTCATTCTATGTTGATCACCTAATAAACTAAATTAGACTAAATATTTTGTCTCAGCCCTACCCCACATTTTTTACTGATAATGTGCCCAGTGTGTGTTACGATGTTTCATTGTCTTATATATGCTAATGTCTTCTCATTTGATGTCCCCAAATAGAAATCTTATCCATATGTACCTGGAAGTAAACAATCATTTACACGGGGGAATGTAATTTTAAATAGATAGGACTGCACTATCCATGGTAGAAGATAGTTACAAATTGAAGTGTATAGTAAAACCTGGGAGGAAAATATGTTGCTACAAGAGAAACAATATTCTATGCATACCAATAAGACTGACTTTAGAGCTAAAATCAACTAAATGTCTGTTTTTAGGACTGTATAAAAATGCTTATAACTATCCCTGATGGTTAGCTTATAGGTTAACAGCAGATGTATTATCTTTAGCATGATGAATAGAAATAAGAGGCCACATTAGAAAATCTTATGGGGTATTGTTGAGTTAGATATACAACATGGGTTTTTTTGGGTTTTTTTGGTTTTTTTTTTCTACACCGGGTAAAATACAGCTTCAAAAAACAAGCCTTTTTTGAAGGAATTTTGCTAAGGGCATTGTAGATTGTATAGAGTAACTGATAGATTTATTGTAGGTGTCTTATAAAGTTATAGTAACACTTTCCAGTATTGCTGCCACTAGATCTATAATAAATTTATAATAAATAAATAAATAAGGTTTACAAATAAGTAATAACACTATTTCTGTCTCCTATATAGGGATGGATAGACAGATGGATGGATGGGATGGACAGATAGATATTTCCTTACCAGAAAGTCAACCGGGTCATCTGGCCTAACCATGCAACATTGATTCAAGCCTTGCATAAGTGTTGGCATCACATGCTTCATTAAGTAGTTTCTCAGTGGAATTGATTGGGTTTCCAGAAGTTCTTGTTCTTGCCGCTTCACTTCTTCTAAACGCTTATTCTAAACACAGACAATTAAATTGCATTTAAACATAATAAAGTCTAGAGCAATCATATTTTTTAAAAAAGATTTTTTAAAACCTATTTTCAGATCATATACCTGACTTTAGTCTGGTGAATTCTACATCCATTCGTTATTAAAATGTAGCGAAGTTTGCATAGGCTACAGCATATATCATGCATATGCCCAAGAGAAAATGTCTATGGTGATGTTTCCCATATGTATCTTTCTATATAAATCATATTAACCAGCTGGGCATGTTTCAGATATACATGCATGTATACTCGGTAGGGGGGGCGCAATGGCTCAATGGCTAAGACTCTTGAGTTTGTTGATAAGAAAGGTCACCAGTTCGGCAGTTCGAATCCTTAGTGCCACAAAACGGAGTGAGCTCCTGTTACATCTCCTAGCTTCTGCTAACCTAGCAGTTTGAAACACGTAAAAATGCAAATAGAAAAATAGGAACCACCTTTGGTGGGAAGGTAACATTGCATTCCATGTGCCTTCTGGGTTTAAGGACACATGAGGTTTAAGGCCTGGGACTAAAGACCTCAACCCACCCGAATTGTATGAATGTTGCGTTTTTTAACGATGTACTGTCTCATGTGTTTAATTTGTATGTCCTCCCTTCCTTTTGAACTGTAAGCCGCCCTGAGTCCCCCCAGGGAAAAGGGCGGCATATAAATAAAACTACCTACCTACCTACATGACCATGGAGACATCTTCGGACAGTGCTGGCTCTTTGGCTTTGAAACAGATGAGCACTGCCCCTAGAGTCAGAAACGACTAGCATATATATGCGAGAGGAACCTTTACCTTATTTTTAAAGCAATGGAAGTGATGCCAATCATGATTGCGATATCAGGTGACCCAAAAAAATGTCATGTAATTGCCCGGTGTAAATTTATTTCCCCCAAACCCCCAGCGGACATCATATTTCAGACCTCCCACTAGGAATGAAAATGCTGCAGGAATTTATTTCTTCAGATACAAAGACTCAACAAAAAGATCAAATGTAACAAACAGTAATGACATTATGAAAAGTACATAGCAACAATTATGTTTGGTATCAAATCCACACTGTTTATCCTAATATGAAAGTGGAAATCATCGAAAGGGCTAGAAGCAATTCTCTTATGCAGAAGTTTCCATTCATTCATTTTTAATCTTGATTTAGTATTATTTTATTAATTTTTGAATGTATAAAGACTTCACATCACAAATTTTAACACAAGAAACATGGAGGTGATTTGTCCAAAGTTCAATGTATCTACAGTATATTAATTAACAATAGCTGTAACTGCAATAGCTATTACAGTATGAGTGAGCCATGTTCCTTTCTTAAATCTATTTATTGTTTCTTACCAGCATGTCAAGCTAACACAGATAATTTATCACTAAAACAGTATATCTAGTTTTGTTAATTTATTTCAGGCCAAAGTATGCTCAACTTGCATATTTGTAAATTATCATCAACAACATTCACAATATGCAAACTTTTGTCAAAATATAGCCCAAATGATAACATCATGATGCATGTGGAAATGTGCCAGTAAGATAATGATAGCAGTAGACTTATATACCGCTTCATAGGCCTTTCAGGTCTCTCTAAGCGGTTTATAGAGAGTCAGCATATTGCCCCCAACAATCTGGGTCCTCATTTTACCCACCTCGGAAGGATGGAAGGCTGAGTCAACCCTGAGCCGGTGAGATTTGAACCGCTGACCTGCTGATCTAGCAGTAGCCTGCAGTGCTGCATTTAACCACTGCGCCACCTTGGCAGGGCTGCTTTCATCATATGCCCCTATAGCCTTTCCTGCAAATGCCTCTAGTTATAAAACTTACATGATGCCTAGAAGTCTCTGATGACCTTACAGTAAGGAACGGAACGCACTCTAGTGACTCTTACTATTAATACCATAGAACGGGTGCCAAACGTGGTGTCATGTGGTGTCATATTTGGACTTTTCCCCCCTTTGCTAAACCAGCCATGGCTGTGGCCAGGGTGTGATGCATCCAGCCTGCAGGCCGCAAGTTTGATAGTACTGCCATAGAAGGTTCTTCTGAGGGAAGGAAATCTCCATATCCAAAAATAAATACAAAAAAAAATCACACCTCCTTTAAGCTTTCTGTTTTCGTCATGTTTATAGACAAATGCTGGATTTTTCAATACTTTTTGTTACAAAAACTTATTTCCATTGAGTGAAACTTTCTACTCTCAGTTTCTACAGAACAGTTATCAGAAGCTTTCTCAACAGGATCTGGAGTGCTGCTTGGTTATTGTTTGGTGTTAAGAGATATAGGAGGTAAATGGGATATAAGAGATATAGGAAAGTGGGAGATAAAAAATGTCATGGAAATAAACATTGACATTTAGAGCATTAGAGGGAAATGTGGCACCTTCCTCTTTTGGCTAAACTATGGGATCTTATACAATCTATTTTTATTTAATATTAAAAAGTATTTATTTGTTGCTGAAGTAGACCTTCATTTGGTAATTTACCAGTTATAGTTAAATCTGGTTATAAAGATTTAAAATCCATTCGTATTATTCAACTGCTTCCTAACTACTACTAGTCTGGGATTGCTACTCTCATGGAAAATGTTCTGATTTGGTTGATTGAAAACTGTTTTGTTTGGGGAGGGGAAATAGAAGCAAAGCAGGAATTGAAGATTTCTGTCTACTTTTTGTAATGTGTTACTATCAATCCTTTTCAATATGTTACTATCCATCCTTCCCATAACCCTTAATTTTGACAAGAGCTAAAAATTCCTTTTTATTGATGTTTCCCTTATAAAAACCAGTCCTTTGCTATTCCAGTATGTCTGAATTTCTACAGGATTAGCTACTTGCTCTTATCTTGGTGAGTCACCAATCTTCCATTACTTATGCATCAAATGGTAAAAGGTCCTTTTACTAAGTAATCAACACTCAGATCAGCATAGATTAACTCCAAGGTCAATTTCAGATTAACAATCAAGTAAGCAATACCCCAATCAAGAAACTGCCAAAGAGCCATTAGTAAACAGCCAAAACAAAGAACCCCTAGGACCATCCACACCCACACAGACAGGCAAGATAACAGAATATAAACTGATAGCAAACAGCACTCCTTACTAGCACTGATGATATTACCTAGTTAGGGTAATGAAATGTCTGCAAGAAAACAAGCAAATTCAGAGAGCATCAAGGACTTCTAAAAGGGTCGTTCTCCATTCAAAGTGTCTTCTTAAGATAGCCCCTTGCTTAATTCTCAGTGGAATAGTGTACGATTAAACTTCTCATTTATTTCTCAAAATTCCCATCCTCTTATGCTCCTTTTGACTTGAATGTTTTTTCCAGGGGATTCTGTCTAGTAGTTCAGTAAGATTGTTGAAATTAGATGTCATAAAATGTATTGTGCTTATATGACTATATCCCAATTTCCTTTTATATAATGTCTTGAATCTCAAGAATGTGTTTTTGTTACCTGTAAAATTATCACTACTTTTCTCTCTTCAACTGGTTCCTTTCTGTTAATTAGGATCAGATTTAGTAGCGCTCCAGCAGAAATAGGTAATATTATGTAAGATGACATAAAATAAAGACTATAGCAAGATTTGCGCAGAGGGATAGAGATTATAATAGGAGGTAAAATTGACATGTCTATTCCTGTTCTCAAAAATTGTTTGCTGTCTCTTTCTAGTCATGGGACAACTAGGTAATGCACATTTGTCAGTTCTCTAAGGCAGACTAGAAAATCAAGTTTATAGTAACAAAATATTGCAAAATTGAATGCACTTCCCATCTCCCTCCCTTAATCTTCATGAGAACTAGGGAGAATCTTGTCTAAGATGTTTACTTAGGCTACACATCTGGTACAAACTCAAATTTCTTTCATCTGACCATTGTTTGGGTTGTGTCTCTTCTTCCTATTCTTCAAGGAAATTCCTCCTTCCTATTACATCAACCTTTGAAATAAGTTAAAAGTTGAATGAACTGAATTTTAAAGTACTGAAGGAATTTGCTGAAAGTCTGGCTAAATATTTATATATTAATTTCTCAATTTTTGAGAACAGGCAAACTGTTGAATGATTTGAGGGCAAATGTCCTGTTTTCAAAAGGTCTGGAAGATAATATAAATATGGGAATATTACATCAATATGAGTGAAGATTCTAGAGATTTTCAAATATTTTTTAAAAAAGCAATGATTATCAGGGGGCAGCTTGAACTGGCAAAGATATAGGTTTGCCCCCTAATTGCATCTCTCTTTTTAATTAACTTCCATAGTAATTAGTGAGAATGCTCTAAATAGAAAATTTGATACTATTTTGCTACTTTGATACTAGCAAAAGAATTTTAAAAAGTACTCCATAATACCTTGATTAGCACATGTGTGCTGGCATAATGATTAACATGAAATAGCAGGTATGAAAACTACACAAAGAACACTAATCACAAAATTCCTCATTACATTGAAGTGAGGTTTCAAATGGGATGTTAAAAGATTCATTTCTTAGCCCGATATGTCTCAATATTTGAGTCGCAGGAAGAGATAACATGAGTCTTAATCAGATTTGCAGATGAGATAATGTAATATACAAAAATAAAATTCAAAGAAATGTGCTGAAACATTAACATAAAACGCTAAGCTATTTGTATTTTTAAAAAAAGAATTCAGATCTAGATATATAGAACCGATTATACTTGGCAGTAGTTTATGTGAAAAAGATTTAATCATTGTTGATTACAAACTGTATATAAGTCAGCAGTGTTATGTGGCTTGAAAAAATATTAATGCAACTTTAGGCTGCATTTACAGAAATTAATTTCCAAATCAAAGGAAGGGATACGTCTAGTGTTGTTAGACCCACTTGAGTATTGCATCCAATTTTACTCCTCCCTAGAAGGCACATTCCCCAAGAAAGTGGGGAAAGTTCAGAGAAAATCAAGAAAGATTATCAGGGGACTGGAAATTAAGTCCTGTGAAGAGAAGCTCTGGAGATGTTAAGACTTTAGAAAAGAAGACCTAAAAGAATGTCAAATAAGGAAACTAAGTCACATAGGGAGCATGGTTAACAAAAGGTAACTTGGCACTGTTCTTTGACCACATTTTAATGTGCTGTCAAAGAACACATGTATTTAATGTCATAAAAAGAACATTTTACTCTATCGCAGGAGACATACATAAAACAATGAATTAACTTTCATGAAAAAAAAATTGGTGAAATTTCCTAACAGAGCAGTTGTACAATTAAATCTATTGCAAGGAAATGCTGGGTACTTGTTCACTAAATGTTTGAAGTAAAGGTTGGACAATCGTTTGTCTGGGGTGCTTCAGGGTGAGTTCCTGCCACTTAGGACTGGGGTGAACTCAATGGTAATATCCAACTCTTTTTTTAGCTGTGCTCAATTCATCTTTATCACTGCTGCTGAGAATATTTATTAAGAGTTTCAATATAAAATATTTAAAACTCTTAGCAGCATTTGCTTCCAAACAAACTAAACAGAAAAATCAGATCCAGATAGTCCTCAACTCACAACCACAATTGAGGCCAATATTTATGTTGCTAAGTGAGGCATTTGTTAAGTGAGCTTTGCTTCATTTTATGACACAATTGTTAAGTTAGTGACACACTTGTTAAGTGAATCTGACTTTCCCATTGACTTTGCTTGCCAAAAGATTGCAAAAGTTGATCACATGACCCAGGACATTGCAACCATCATAAATATGAATCAATTGCCAAGCATCTGAATCTTTTTCAATTTTTTTTTTAAAAAATTAAAATTTTATTTTATTTTACATATACCTATATTTATGTGAACAGTGTGGCACCAGGGTGTCATACATTCTAACCAAGCATCTGAATCTTTTTCAATTTTTTTTTTAAAAAATTAAAATTTTATTTTATTTTACATATACCTATATTTATGTGAACAGTGTGGCACCAGGGTGTCATACATTCTAACCAAGCATCTGAATCTTGATCATGTGACCAGGGAGATGCTGCAACACATAAGTGTAAAAATTGTCATAAATAACTTTTTTCAGTGTTGTAACTTTGTACGGTCACTAAATGAACTCTTGTAAGTCAAGGACTACCTGTATAGTGCTTTCTGAAAGATAATTTTTTTATCTTTCCACCTCCTTTGGTAAGAGATATGTAAATATGCTAAAATTTTCTTATATTTAGGATTAACTTACCCATTCTTCCCAGTTTGCTATTTTCTTGGCCCTT